TTTCAGATCTCCATTCAAACCTTAGTTCCCATTTGGCCACTTGAGTTATAACTGACTGATGGTAGCTGAAAGTGTGTTGTCATTGCTGGCTAGAATTCTCAAACAAACCACAGAGAGATTGAATCGCTACAAATCTCTCACTCCTTCAGGTGACTACATGACACAGTGATGCCCTTTAAAAGACCATACTCTATTCTGTCCCTGGAACTTGGGTTGGGGGAATGTGGCCAGTCTGCCCTGTTTGGCGTGTCAGACACGCTCCCCAGCACCAAGCTCATTGATGATTATATTAAAAGCTGTGTTCCCAGGGAAGGATCTGCTCAGCCACCACAAGCTTATTCATTATTTATAAACAATTAAAGGGCATGGTTCAAATGAATGCAAGCATCTGGGAAAGTCATTATTCATGTACAAATCTACTCAAGCATTTGTCATTTCTCTGGTGACTTAACATACTCTCTGTGCCTTGGGACCTCAAATTATATTAAGCAAAGTAGATGCTTAAACTCTTTTATTTAGTTTAATCGTTGGTCTCATTGCACTTGTTCAGATTATTTGGGCTTGTTTAAAATTAGCCCTCCTGTCTCCTTGATGCATTAAAATAGTAAGGAGGAAAATTTCTTTTTAGAACCTATTGCATTCTGAGGATGAATGCAAATTATCCTACTATGATTCTTAATGACCCACTATTAACATAGTAGGAAACCCAGTGCATTAATGCAATGCCACTTTTCACATCATTACTCCTAATGGAACTGTTACCAGGATAATAGCTTGACCTTTAGCTATAGATTCTGATAGCAAAATATATTCTGCTTACTCCATACCTCTATTCACATAGCATATCAGCTGTTTTCACGTCAGTGCAATGGCATCGTTTAGCCTTGTCCTAAGGTCTCATCTGCGATTGTAATGGAGAGAATAGCATTTCATCTTCAATAGGTAAATTCTAGTTAAAAGTCCCTTTGAAGTTTGGATGTCATCCATGAATCAGAATGTCAATAATGTGCCTGGTGGAAATATTTGTTTGTGTAGGCATTTTTTGAGAAGCCTGTGCTGTGCCTTCAAAAGTCTCAGTCACGGGCCCAGGGGACAGTGTTTTTCTAGCATCTTCCTATTGAAGGCAGAAAAGTTTTAACTGAAAGAAGAAAAAATGAGCAGAAGCTGTTGCCCTTTTAAGTGAATGATGAGATTCTGAGCTCAAGGCTGGATTGTAAAGTTCTGAACTTAAACCCCTCATGGCATGAGAGAGTGCATTCTTCAGGCCTTTCCTTCGGTTCTTCTAAACTTCACTGTTGGCACACATGTAGCCACTCAGGCATTGGCATAGTCCAGGACTGCTTTGGTATTTTGAAACCGCAACTTGCTAATGTGTGATAATTTGAGCATAAGCATTTCACAATCTAAGAAAAGAGGTTGCTATAGAAATTAATTGTATACATAGCATTATAAGTGGAAAGATGTTTACCTCATAAAACAGTCTCTTCAGTCATTTTTGTAGTATGCTTTTTCATATAAGTGAATAGAATGCTAGGTACAAATGCATTGTTTTTTAAATTTCATTTATTAAGCAGAACTTCAAGCACCTTTTGACAGTTCTTCAGTTAGATGTTATTGTGAGCATTTGAGCGTAGTAAAACCTTTTTTTTTTTTATTTAAATGTTTGACCAGTGAAGACTTCCTGCTAATTCAGATAGGGCATTTTCTAATTAGTCTACATTTTTGAGGTCCTGTTATTTGCTAACATTAGATACAAGACTAGTAACTATGTTGATTTCTTCCACAGCATGTTTCTTGAGCTTCTTTGCTGAAATGGGTACATTGAGGGAGACAAAGAAAGGAGCTGGTGTAGGAAGCTGAAAAGCACATCTGTGCCCAGGAATATGGCTTGTTTCCTCTCCTTTGCCCTACAGAATCTACAGGGGGTCACCTGGTTCATACTGCCCGACTCCTTGATTCTGCTTCCTAACTATCTCCCTCCCCCCACTCATGTAAGACTGTGATGGACTTTCCATTAAGGTTCTTGGGAGATCTGTGCATCTCCTGCCAACAACTTGGTGTCGTCTTGATATGACTCAGTCCCCTGCACACATGAAAATCCATCTGATCCTGGCCTCTTGGTGTCAGGACCTCAGTAGCTGTGCCTTTCACCGCTGCTTGCTTGAGCCCATGTCACTCAGCATACCTTAGCATCCTTCCACACAGCTCTGCTGTTTTCTACTCCAGCATCCCAGACTTTCCTAATGTTCCCTACTACCATCTAACCCTGCCTGCCATCCCACTGATATCTCCATTTACTCATCTATGAGTATCTCAGAGTCTGTCAGCCCCTGTCTGGTGTCATTTTCCTAATATCTTCAAGTGCTTTAAGTCCCCCTTCTGCTGCTGAGACCGTTCAGCTAACCCTAACCTTAGCCAGCCCTTCCGCCTAATGCTCCCTGTAGACTGTGGCACCCCATTCACTGCCTTACTGTTTGTCCTCAGCCTTCTAAATTCCAAACCTCCCCACACTGTCCAGCCCCATGGTGCCTCCGCACTGAGCTCACAGAGAACCACCTCTTATCAACACATCTCCTCATCCTCTGGCTTTCCAACTTGTTTTAAGGTGGCCCCTCTACTTCAGTCCTATATCCCATCACCCCTCTTTCCTCCAAGATGGCTCCAAGCCACTGTATCACTAATGCTCTAGAGTCATTTGTCACCCTTGGCTTTGCAGTCATCCTGGCCTTCTTTGTGGGTTTTTCTGCCTCTATCATCTATTCCTCAGCACTGTGTTCACCACAATCTATGCTTAGCCACGTGCCCTTTACTCTGTATGTTCTCTCTTCTTAACAGTTTTTCTGTTCATTGTTTTAACTACCATATACACAGTGGGCTCTTCCTGTTCAGTGAGTTCAGCATCCACAGATTTAACCAAGCAGGGATGGAAAATACTGAAGAAAAAAAAAAAAAAGAGAGAGCTTAGCATGCCACATACACACATTACCTTTAATGCTGGCAGCGTAGCTCAGTGGTAAAGTATATGCTTTAAACATGCAGACTTTTGCCAGGTGGTAGAAGTGCACACCTTTAATTCTAGCACAGGAGAGCCAGAGGCAGATGAATCTTTTGAGTTCAAGGCCAACCTGGTCTGCAGAGCAAGCTCCAGCAGTGTAGACTTTTTTCTTGTGATCATTCCCTCAATAACACAGCAATACAACTTACTTAATATTAGCATTGTATTAGTCATCATTGAGCTATCTAAGTTTGATTTAAAGTATATGTTGATGGCATAGGTGATGCATCACTTATAACATTGTCTTCCAGGGTCTTGGAATTGGTCCCTGTAGACTGAGAGGTGGCAGTGTCCTTGGCCCAGCTTCTTTCCTTATACTGCTCTGTCTAACCTTCTGCTGCCCACATGATGTGGGGGCTCTGCAAACAGTCCACCCAAGTCTGTGGTGTTCTGACTTTACCTCACTTTCCTTTCCTTTCTGTGGTGAGTGTATCATGTGTTTCGACACAGGGTGTCAGTCTCCTGCCCTGGATGCTTGATTTACTGAGACAAGTATTAGCTTCTGAAAGGGACTCCCCATGGCCTGCAGATCTGTCCACAGCAATTGTCCTTTCCTGCACAACTGGACTGCTTGCATTTGAGTTCACACACAGGGCTTTCCCCTCTTTCTGTATTTCCTTAGGATGTGATTTTAAAAGTAACATTACGGATCAGGGGTGTAGCCATTTTATGGCTCTAATTATGTTTTATTCTTATTTCCCAAGAAAAATTCCCAGTTTTATGCTAATAGCAATGTTTGACTGGGCCAGCTCACCACAATTTTGCTACTATCAAATACAGCCTTTTTGACATTGTTTTTCTAACTTAGGATAGGTGTACAATGTGTGCTTTTCAGTTCTTTGATTTAAATATTAGTTGAACATTTTCCCTAGTGTTTTATACTTCAAATACACTATTGATCTATGGTACTATTGAACTTGCTCTTTTATTTGAGTGCACTCTTCAAAGATACTGAACATTCTGAGGCATATATAATGTGGTCAGGTTTTGTAGCTCTCCTAGAATGTTTGTTTTTCATTGAATGGGAATTTCAGCTTTTTCATATAGTTAAATCTGTCAATATTTTCCTGTGTTGTTTCTTTTTGAAAGAGACCTTTTAACATACTGAAACTAGGAACATTTTGAATCTCACGAAGGCAGTGTACTAGGACCACTTACTGACCTCACCAGCAGCGAGGTGAAGAGGGGAGCTGAAAAGTTCACAGGAACAGAGAGAGGCAGAAATGTTAACTCCACACCTCACATATGGGCACACCCTGTGTGGCTTTCCTGGGATCATTGTCCTGCCTCATGATTCTCCATTGTTTCTCAGCACTTAATAGGGCTGGTCTTTCCTCATATCTAATGTACTATGCAGGGTGCTGATTCCCACCTAGATTGAATCTTAGAATCTCAGTAAGATGAACAGCAGTGTTATATGTTGAGTACTGAGTTTCTAAGGATCAGTGTGAGAACATCTCTGTGTTATGTTCATTTCATTTTGAATTGACAACATGGACGAAGTCACTTAATACATTTGCTCAATTCTGTCATGAATGGATCTGGCAGAGCCATATGAAGCATTTTCCTTTTTGCCCATCAGACACATACACACATAAAGAGCAGTTTCCACTCAAGCTTCTTAGTGTTTTCAGCCAGTTTTATGTTGAAGCATAAGCCATCATATGTAGCCAGCACTCAGTTGCTTGCGATCTTTGCCAAAAGAGATCACTGCAGAAGATGTGCCCTGTGGGTCTGACGTCCTTAGATGTTCACTTTGAAGCTGAGGGAAGCTTGTAGTAGAGCTCATGCTTGGCATACACATGTTCCTAGGTGAAATTCCCAGCACCAGGAAAGAAACAACAAAAGATACAGACTTGTTTTCTCCTTGGACCATCTTCCTGTTTTGTTCTGCATCCTTTTGTTGCTGTTAAGGTATTTAGTAGCATTTCATGTTTTCTTTCAGTCTTTACAGAAAAATACTGTACTGCGAACCATGTGGATAAACTTCCTGGCCCAAGAGACTGGGTACAGATTCTACAGGATCAAATTAAACTGGCCAGAAGAAGGTTAAAAAGAGGCTCAGGTATGAATGAATAAACTGTAAAAGAAGTCACTGTGGAAGTGCTTTGTTGAGCTCTCCACCTTTTAAAGCACAGTGCTTTCTCTCTAGGTCATTGTGGTATCCTTTGTCTCTTGAAAGAGATGTTCTATGTAATGTGCTCTGGTGGGTGCTAGTGAAATTTGAAAGTTGTCTTAAGATTGAATAGTAAAAATTATGTAGGCCATTTGCTTTTAATAGTACAAGAGGAAAAGATTGCTAATCTCATCTGTGGTCTAATGTGTTTTTCGGGTAGGATTGAGTCTTCTGTGGTTTGCTTTTATCTGACTATTGATTTCTGTTGTTTATATCTACATGAGTTTTTTAAAGAACTAATTGCTCAAAGTTTAAAAGGCCATGGGGGTGGAGCAGTGGGATGGTGCATGTGTTTAATTCCAGCCCTTGAGTTAGAGACAGAGATCTCTGTGAGTTTGAGGCCAGCCTTGTCTACATAGTGTGTTCCAGGACAGCTAGGGCTATGTGAAGAGACCATTTCAGATAAAAAAAAAATCAAAATTCGTTCTGTCAGAGCACCACAGGAATTTAAGGTGTGTGTGTGTGTGTGTGTGTGTGTGTGTGTGTGTGTGTGTATGCATGTGTGCACATCGCCATGTTTAAAACTTGAGAGTTTGCAGCTAGGCAGCAATTTTTCTAGGCAAAGTGAATACCAGTAGAATTGTGACTACATAGATTTGATCATGGAAGTCTCAGTCTTCCAAATCTACCAGTTAGAAATCCCTTTAGGGTCAATTTTCTCCTATATTCCAAGAATAGTTATCTCTACCAGATCACAAATCTCTAGGTTTTTATTTCTAAATTTTATGTAACTTGGTATATCTATTATAAAAAACAATATGGAGATTCCTCAAAAAAAAAAATAAGGCCTCAAGGAGATGGCTCTGTTGGTAATATGTTTACCTTGCAAGCTCTAGGAGTTAAGTTGCCAGAACCCATATAAGAAAATAAACAAATAATAAAGCATGTCCTTGTAATCTCAGCACCGGATCTGTAGGGGAGGCTGGGCAACCATCTTCGCCCGCTTGACAATTTCCAAGCCAGTAAGAGACAGCATTTGAATAAAAGTACCTAAGGTTGCCCTCACACACATACACACACACACAGGAAAATTTTAATTACCATATGACCCACTAACCCTAAACAACCCCAGTATTTTAAAGAGACATCTGCATTCCTATATTCATTGAGGCATTTTCCTAACAGCTTCTAAAATATATAATCAACATAAGCATCCACTTTACTAGACCAATTGATAAAGAAAATGTGGTTGGTGTGTGTGTGTGTGTGTGTGTGTGTGTGTGTGTGTGTGTGTGTGTGTGCAGTAAACAAGCACAGAAGTCCAAGTACCATGGAATCTCTGTGAGGAATCTGAAAAGGTAGAACATAGAGTGATGGTCAGTCTCCAAGAGCCTGGGGAGATGTTGGGCAAAGGAATAGAATTTCAGTCACACAGAAGGAGTGGGAGTGATTATGTGACATGACAAGCCGGGTTATTTATAATATACTTAAAAATAATTGAGTTCGCATCCTATATTTTCATATAGTGAGTGATACATAGATTAATTCACACAGTGAGCCATTCTACATGTGTATTTCTAAGATACCATGTTCTATATCATAAATATGCATGATTTCTTATATTAGAAGAAAATTTATTAAGCTTGTTTCTATAATATGGTCAGAGTAGTCCTACAGTGGAGAGTCTCAGAACCCCAATGGTAACTTGGTCCATGGGGCTAGGTGCCCCCTGTAGTCCTACTCTGAAGGCCTGAGGATTCCTGGAGAGTGTTTAGTCCCCAGGGCACATTGGAATCCTAAAGAAGCTGCTTCAAATGTCAGCAAAAGGAGTCAACACCAGCAGCAGCAAGGAAGATGAATTCACCAGTGAGAGTGAAGGTCAAGAGAGGAAAACACTTTCCTCCCATGTCTTTTATATGGGCAACTACTAGAAAGTGCCCACATTCAGAGTGGATCTTCCCACATAATTAAGGTGGTCTCCCATCAGCCACTTCATCTTGGCAGTCTTCCAAAGCGCATCTAGGTTGGGTCACATTGACAATTAAAGCTAACACCATACTCATGTATTTTGACCCCCTACAGAAAGGAACTGCCTTGACCCATGAACTTAGTTTATTTCTTTTTTGTTTGTTTGTTATTAATAAATTTATGTATTTCTGTTATTTGTCAAATGAAAATGAAATCCAGGCCACCTTGACATCAGGCCTGTCAAGGCCTTGGGAATCTGTGTGGCTGGAGGGTGAGACAGTTTGGAAGGTAGACTTTGGGAACTGTGGTACTGGAGTGTGTGCAGGTAACACCACACAGCGCATCTGAGTGTGCGATGCTGCAGTAGCAGAATAACTGAGTCTTATTGGCTTTAATGAACAGAAGTCTATTGGCTCACAGTTCTGGAGGCTGGAAACCCAAGACTGAGGGCTTCCTTGCTGCATCAGTCCATGGCAGGAAGGCACAGAGAGAGTGAGAGAGAGGAAAGGGGAGACAAACTCACCTCTTCCTCAATGGCAGGATTGTGTCCTGTCAGCTCTCATCAGGCTTCTCCTCCCTACACTGTGCATCATCTTTGGGGGACACATTCAGACCATAGCAATCTCTAACAGGGGCTTGTTAGTTGAATTCTTCCCAGTACAGCACTGTCCTCCAGCCTCAGGCTCTGTAGCCAAACTGGCCTTCTCTCTGGTACTAAAACTGGCTGCTTTCTCCCACCTTTCATGAGCACTGCAGGGCTTCCCTTCTGCAGAAACCTTTAGAGAGGCCCCAACACACTCCCTTTTGTTGGAGCTTTTGATCATCAGGTTTACAAAACACATGCTCTACCTGTACATTCATAATGTATCAAATAGGCTATCTTAGCCACTGAGGAGGAAGGTACCTACATGAGAGAACCACCCTGACATACAGGCCACACTAGATCAAAAGGACAGCACCCCAGCCATGGCAGACAGTTTGACTGTGTGTGTGAAACGCTAGTGCACTTCCTTCTCAATAGCACAAAGCTGGGACTCCAGCAAACAGATTTTAGAGCCACTTGCCTTGGCTGAATAAGGCCTCGATCTATAATGCGACTGGCTCTGGGGTTTTTCATCTTGATTATTTTCCATCAAAATGATAATAAAATGTGTTTAAGGTATTCCACAACTTCCAGTGCCTTATTTATCATTCTTGGCTCAGTTCCTAGAACTCGGTCCAGACTCTGACTGGACAGAGCTAATCAGCTCACCCCTTGGGGAAGCCTACACTGACTGTAGGAGAAAGAGGTTGCCCCACACGATTGGAAAGGTCGTTATGCAAATCCAAACAAATTCATTTGGGGCTCTCATCACATGTAATAATTTTTTCTATAACTAGAATTCTGTTCCTGGTGTGGATTTTTATCATTTTTATTAGATTACTTCCTCAGAGCTGAAATCACAATTTACTGTTTGTGTTAGATCCAGGAGTAAAGCTGTCACTGCTACTAAATTTTTATTGGACTTGCTCAGTCTTTTCCAAATTTTACAACTTGATCATCACCAGAAAAGAGCGGCTGTGAGCTTGTTGTTACAGACGGTGTTATAATTAACACCCTAATGTTCTTTACCCATGACACTTGCCCTGCTCGTGCAGCTAACATAATACAGCATATTCTGACTAAATATATGTAAACTATATATGTTCTGTTCTGACAAAAGCACATGATTGTGTAGGCCCACATATAAAAAGTATGGGTTGGGCTGGCGAGCTGTCTCAGAGCTTAAGAACACTGGCTGTTCTCCCAGAGGTCCTGAGTTCAATTCCCAGCAACCACATGATGGTTCACAAAAAAATATCGCTCAGCAATTAATACCATGGCTGTTCTTCCAGAGGACCTGGGTTCAATTCCTAGCACCTACATAGTGGCTCACAACAGGCTATAACTCTAGTTCCAGGAGATTCAGTGCCATCTTCTAACCTCCACATGCCTCAGGTATACAAGTGGTTCATGGACCATGAACATACATACAAGCAAAATACTCATACACAGAAAATTTTAGAGTGTGTTATTTTTAAGTAAGGGTAGCTGAATTACAAAAGGAAGGTCACCTCAGACCCCAAACTAATTTTTGTTAAAACTAAACAAAAAGCGGATATGTATTAAGGTAAAAGAAATTACTAAAATATAAAATGAACTACAATTTGAAGACTTTAAAAATGAGCTTGTAACTGTACATATGCTATGTATGTATTATTAATAGTAAGAGATTGAGAGTCTAGACTCAAAGCTCATTCTTATCTTTGGCATTGTCACTTACTAGCCATAATTTAGTTTCTTCACCTCTGATTCCTAGTGTATTAAACCAAGCATAGCATCAGACATAGCCCAAAAGACTTCCTATCAGTCAGATGACAAATTGCACACAAAGTGCTCAATAAAAAGTATTTAGTAAGTGGTGATGGCCATTTATTATTACTGAAGAATTTTTAAGCCCTGGTAATAAGACAACTATGATGTAAACCGTCAGATTCATTGAAACCAGTCAGAAGGAAATGGTGACTTCTGAATATAAAAGGCATACATTCATTGTTTTTTATCATGTAAAAAGTTTTTTTCAAACCCCGTAAGAACCAAGCTAAGGAACTGGATCAGTGGGTAACGTATTTGCTGCACAAGCACAAAAGCTGGAGTTCGGATTCCCAGAGCCCTTATAAAGCAGTCAGGTGTGGAGGAGTGCATCTTTAACCCCAGCACTCAGATGCTGGTAGAGACAGTCAGATCCCAGTCTAGCTAAAACTAGGAGGTTCAGTGAGAGAACTAACCCCCCAAAATAATGTAGAGTATGAGAGTAATAGAGAAAGACACCTGACAACGACCTGGGGCCTCCGTGCATGCAAACACATGGGAGTATGCAAGGATATGTATGCACATGTGCACACATACAGAGTGCACCAGAACACCTAATGCCTTTTATCTAGAGCATTTTAGTATGTCTTGCAAGTTGTCTGTAAATCGCTTTACCCAACTCAATCCTGCCATTTTGTCATGCTATTAAATATTATCAACATCATTTTTTAAAAGGTTTTATTTATTTATTATGTATACAACATTCTGCTTCCATGTATATCTGCACACCAGAAGAGGGCACCAGATCTCATAACGGATGGTTCTGAGCCACCATGTGGTTGCTGGGAATTCAACTCAGGACCTCTGGAAGAGCAGTCAGTGCTCTTAATCTCTGAGCCATCTCTCCAGCCCATATCAACATCATTTTTAATTGTCTCTACTCCAATCAAAGTTGGCCGTGACTATTCCATCTCTTCTCTGTTTTCTTTCTGTGGTGAATCATTTGAGCCAGCAGACACCGATGCTGGACCTACCCACCCAGGACAAGAGACTAGAGACTAAACTAGAGGGAGAAAGTTTGGAATATTCCTGGCTGTGTCTGTCCTCAGTCGTGTTTAAAGCACCAACAGGAAAAATGAGAACATAGCATTGCTTTGGCTTTTCCACCCTCTCCATACTACAAGGTGGAGCCAAAGGCTGGCCTCAAGGCACACAGTGTAGTCAGCAGGAACTTGGGGTGGGGAGGTAAAGAGGATGCCACCAGAATTACCCAGTAGCCATATGTGAATTTTCCTTTGTCCCTAGCATGTTAGAGGAGACTCACTCCCTTGAGTTACCATGAGACTTATGAACCCCTTCTCTTTATATTTAGTAGGTGTGTGTGTGTGTGTGTGTGTGTGTGTGTGTGTGTGTGTGTGAAGGGTCACACTTTGCAAAACCCTTAAGGAGACTAAGTCACATCAGAAGAGCAAGGCTTGCATTTAAATCACAAAGGAGAGGAATCTTTTGAAGAAATATATATATTTTTTCTCCATGGCTTCCTTCATGTCTGAATAGATCCAGGAGTTAGGCTGACAGCTCCAGAACTAGGATCTCCAAAGAAAAGTTCATTCTGAGAATTCCCACTATGAGTGTGGATGTGAAAAGTAGTGTTCTGTAGGCGAAAGGCAGGAACATAGGTGTCCTCAGTGTGTGGTTGGACAGTCCACCCTGCTGCTCACTGGAGGTTTAAGCTTATGAAAAGAAGACAAAATGAACTGAAATCACCTATGATTGACAAAATAAGGCCGGAGAGTTTTCAAGTTTTAATACAGGAAGCTTGACTTCCTGTCATGATTATCCAAACGAAATTGTGTTATACTGAAACCTGTAATGTGAACCAAGTGACGTGAACAGGGGAGCAGGGGAAGAAAGATGAAAGCCGCCGTGCGCACTGGAGTCGCTTTAATTGTGTTCCCATATTCAGCAAAATGAATGTGCTCCCTGCAACTAATGAGATTTGTGTTTTATGTTTGTAACCAGCAGAGGTAGCTGACGGGGATGAAAGACTGGACGGCATTTCGCTACCACCAACAGGTAAAACACATTTACATTTCATCACTGCTGCAAGAATACATCTGCATTGAAAATGCTTTTACCATTAAGGATGCAGGTGCTTGAGCAAGCTGCCTCTGTAACAGACCCAGGCCCTCACAATCCCCGGTTTCTTGGGGGCCTAGGTTCAAAGCTGTTTTTACAGTGGATATGAAAAGCAACATTTTTCTCACACCCTATTTCATATTCATAAATATCTCAGAAGTGCAAATCCTAAGAAGTTAGTATCACAACACAATGCCTCACCAAGCCTTGAGACCTTAAAAGGCATTTTTATTATAAAACGGCATTTAGCTTTAAACCAGGATTGTCAGCTTATATGTGACCAAATTCAGGTCCATTTTGTCTTATTCCACCCAAAGGCGTTTAAGAGGCATGCATCAGCACTCTTCACTTAGTAATGCCTGTGTTTTTAAGTGGGACTGAACAAGCCAGCCCATCCGGTGTGAACCACACACTCCTGGTATTTGAACCAGGACAGCAAATGCAACAGAACACTGAAGCATTTGCTGCGCAATTGTGTTCAACCGTGGGCTTCATTGTGATCTCATCGCAAGACTCTGGGGTAATGCCTCTGACCCCGATCTCCTGCCTGTGTGTGAGCTCACACCCAAAAGGAGAGGACTTGGTGCCTGATCAGTGAGCCATGTGTCAGTTTATCCCCTCACTTGGACTCACGACTCCCTATTGGCTGTTCTTCAAAGATTCTCTGAAGATTCCATCGGTAAAATCCAGACAGTCCAAGGAAATCTTGAACTATAAAAGCTCAATTCAGTGGTGGGTTTTTTTTTTTTAATGTGTTTCATTTTTATTTTGTTTTTGTTTTTCCTGCATCTGAGATAGTGAGGCTTGAATTAAGTTGAGAAAATATAATGGAGTATGTACTGTGTTTGCAGGAACTCTTGATAGTCCCTAGTGGTCACATGGCCTTGAAAGCACAGCTCATAGGTACACTTAGAGCTGCCAGAAGCCCCAGCCATGTAAATTACACCTTGCTTCTCTGCCTTGAGTAGCCAAGTAACAGATCAGTGGAAAAATAATGAAATGAGCCACAATAGTGCTCAAAATATCTGCATATATCCAGTTCTTATGATCCATAGTTGTAATGTAAAGGCGATTTCTACTTGTCTGTGTTTCCATACTTGAGTTGAGAGAGTTGAATGTGCCATCTCTAGTGTTCATTACCACCCTCTAAATATCAGGACAATGCACACTGAATTCCCAGAAGATACAGGAAATACTAATCATAATGGTGAAAGTATGGTTCAGGGGCCTTGTTGAGGAATGTCATACTTTTCTAGTTGTCCCCTGGGCATCTGCAGCAGCTGTCTTCTGTGTCAGATGACATAGCGGACTTTTGCTTTATCGTTTGAAAACTGTGCAACTTGCAAATAAATATACCTTTGCATTTAACTGTCTAAAGATTGAGGCTGAGATTTCAGCAGATACGACAGCCCAGGGATGCTAGAGGCGTTTCCCAGAACTGACAAGCTCAAAGGAATCTGAAAATGAAGGGAACATGGGAGCTCATCTGGACCAATCCCTCCTTTTATCCAGCCTTTTATTTTCCAGAGGGAAAAACCTGAGGTCCAGAAACATTAGATGACTTTCCCAAAGTGTCACAGCTGGTGATAGCAAGGTCAGGACCAGTCCCCTCAACTCCCAGCCAGTACAACATAGGGCTTTCTTATACCTAAGTCAAAGCCATCTTTTCTCTGCATTTCTTAAAGATCCTGGGGCATGACAGACGTGCAGTCCCATTAGGACTCCATTTTTACTGGTTCAGTCTTCACATTTATAACATTTGGCATCAGTCTACCCAAAGTTCACTTGATTTCTTTCTTAAATTCTGTCTGGAGCTTTGAGATGATAAAGAATAAAGTAGACTATTGACAGATACAGTTACAAACTACTGAACAGCATGGTATATGTTTTTTAATGTATTTATCCTTTTGGAAAAGGGGGGAAAGAGGTCACAGATTGGTTCTCAAATTTTGAGTATCAAATTAAATAGTCTTGATAGCATGCTTCATGGTTGCCTTCTAAAGTAAAATCCCCAATCTGGCCAGCTTCTTTGGTTGCTGTGTTGCTGCAGGTCACCCCTCCACATGCTCTGACACGGCCACCAAAAGCAGTGAACCCCATGTCTTATACATATGGTTGCAATGGCTCAGCCTCACTGAGCAGGATTCAAACCACATCTCCAGCTCCTCATTTATCTGAGCTGACCAAACTTGATGCTTTGTAAAGCTTCAGTGGTGCTTTTATTACTATTACTTTATAAATCATTTTGCTCCTTTAAAGTCTGTATCAAGAAAAGATGAGGGATGATCCCTGTGTTGCTGTGAACCTGTAATGGTCAGGGTAGGATTTTGTTCAGTCAGATGGCCTGTGTTTTCAGGTACTATAGTTAAGATCAGAAGGGTCTCATGTAGCCCAGGCTGGCCTCTGGCTTTGAGTTCCTGATCCTCTTGCCCCAGCTCCTGAGTGCTAGGACCATAGACACGGACCACCACACCCTGCAGAAATGTGTTAACCTGTGCAGCGAGCCTTCGGAGCAGCAGTCAGCACCATCCTTGGGTCTGATGCAGATTCTGCCCTCAGACAAGGGTGGGAGACAGAAACAAACTTGCACACTGCGGCACAGATGTGGAGGGAACATTCAATTAGGAACTATTCCTAGAACCTGGGAACCGTTGGCATTTAAAGAAAAAAATGTGTAAAGTCAAATCAAAGTAGACCATTTTCAGTTTGAAGATGGGGCCTCTGGATTTGATAGGGTAATATTTGTCGAGACTTAGCAATTTGCATTATCAGTCAGCATTCTTTTGTGGGTTTTGTATTTTAGAAAGCACAAGTCACAACTCGGAGACACTGTTACTGCTGTTTCCCCTATATTCAATTTTTCTCTATTTGATTTATTTATCTAATGGAGATCAAATACATGGAATTTGTCTCCTGAGTTGTTTGGTTTTCACCTAAGAAGCATTCCCCCCCCCACTCTAAGTCTGCACATTGCTATTTAATAATGTTTTCAGGTAAATCATATTTAGCTATTTTCTATTGCTGGACAGTATATCACTAATGGTAATATATACTAATGGATTTTATTGTTTTAAAAATCAACAAGAATTCCTAATCCTTGAAATTACTTATCTGGCACAATTAAAGCTTAGTGCCTTAACTGGACAGCACAAGTATGTATACCACCCCCAAACCTTCAGGTGACTGATTTTTTTTTTCCCCCACACGGCCCTGGCCATGTGAGAAAATGTACAGCTCTGCCTTGGAGAAACAGCCTCTCTCATTGTCTTGTCTCTGTTGTAGGTAATATATTTGTCACCAAGAGAGAGACCCCGGAGGACCCAGAACCAGGTTCCATTGCCTAGACTTGCAGTTTAGTATACTCTTCCGTTTCCTCAAAGGTCCACGTAGCAGTTGAGGTTCCTGCAGTGTGGGTGTTCTGTGGTGGCTTGTCCTGTCTGAATAATTTCTTTGTAACATGTGGTGTCACAACTCCAATTTGGCATAATCTTTTCTTAAATCATGCTTGGAGAGTTGTTACCCTTTAAATGTCCAGCGTGTGTGGCCCATCACAAAGAAGCAGTTCTCTTCCTGTTTTTATTCATTCATAGTCTGTGTGAATACACAGTCTTTTTAAACATATTTATTTTATTGTAAATTGCTTAGCTGCATGCAGAGGAAACCCCCTCTTTCCAGGACTGATGGAAGTTACAAAGCGGCATTAATTAAACGTTCAGCTAAGAGAAGGAAAGGTAGTTTTGGGAGATGGGAATAGCTAAGACCTGGTCTGTGAAATCATTTATGACGTTAGACATAGTAACCCGAAACAGTCATTCAGAACCGAAGTACAAATGATGTATGAATTACTAGGAAATAAAGCACTTTCATGTAATTTATGATGATGTAGTGACAAAAAAAAGAGTACCCAGCCATTTGCTTAGGAGCCATCAAGCATTTAAATATGGTTTAAACTAAGTGGCTTTGACCCTGTGTTCATGTTCACTTTATAGTTTATCTGGTCCCTCACACACTTGCCTTCTACCTTATGTAAAACTAAATATGAGAAAAATTTGGGTTTATTTTAAAGAAATCTTTGCTGTGTGGATATTTGCTTTGCAGAAATAGTTACCCCCACATTTGTTTTGCTAATGAAATAGTGCATTGGGAATACCACTTATTTAGAAACCCTTGCATTTGCACCTTATTTGACATGTAAAGCAAATTGTCTTGAATCTTGGGCACTTGACACAGAAGGCTAAAAATTGCCATAAAAGAAATGTGACTGTTGATCTACCAAACCCCAGGGAAAAAAACTGCCATGACAAAAACTTCGCCTTTTCCCTAGTGTTCATTTCAGCCACTGGTTAGAACCAACAGTTAGTGCTGCTAGGACTGAGTCCCACCTTCTGCTTTGCCTGAGAGAATTGAGAGTTAGGTAAGTGGTTGCTTAGGGTCAGGTTACCTTTCATGGCCAGCTGGCATAGAACCTGAACATCGGTGTGCTGTGTTATGTCATACTGAACATGAAATGCTAAAGATTGGAGGACTAGGGCAGCACTCCACTGATTCCAGCTAATCAATGAAAATGATAGGTGACCACCCTGGAATGTGATAAAATGTGCTTTTAGGTGTTGCTTGTGGATTGCAACATCCCTTCTGTGTATCTTTTACGTCTCTTCTATTGGAAGCTACAGGGATGGCTTGGAAATTATTCCCATCATACCTCTCAGTTACCAGTTTCTGTTTCCAGCTAGCCCTAATCTCTTTGTTTTATTGAGTGGTCTGATGAGCTGCATACAAACCAGGATTGTTAATTCTGTAACAGATCCTGAAAAAGAAAAATGTCTTCTGCCTCCTAGAATGAAATACTCGAGAGAGTAGAAAAGCTGAGTTAGTGCCCTTCACTCTATTAAATGATGGTGAATGTGTTTTCAGTACAGGAAGAACATATACTTACAACTGTAGGCCTGTTCAGTATGCACTGTAAACCTTCAAAACACACTTCCTTCCAAGCCTCGGTGACAGCTTGGAGTCTTCAATACTTGAGGAGGGTAGCATCATTTAGTTCACGGATAAGTGCAATGGATTCACAAATAGGAAAGGCAGACTAAAACTGCAACAGTAAAATCTTATTTTGTAAGTTTAAATTGTATTCATGTTAACTTACTGTGACTACTGTTCAGCTTTGTTCAGAAACTGTTTTTATAGGCTTTCTTAGCAAAAAACTAATCCATATCTATGGATGTGTCTCAATCTTCTGTACATATGTTTTATTAATATGTAAATATTCAGATTTTTTAAAAATTACTATGTTCTTTTAAAAGAATTCAGTGTAAAGCTAGTTGTGAAAATGGTGTGTAACACTGTGTTGTGATATCAACTCCCAAGATGCTCTTTATGTCCATTCTGGAAAAATACAATAAATTACTTTAATTGAATGCACACGTGTCTTGCTTGCACCCAGTCTTCTGTGTTTATGAAGTCTATGCTGCTCATTAATTAAAAGGTATTTATGAATAGTCTGATGATTTTTCTCAGGAGTTATGCCTCTGTGGAAAATTATGTTTACAAATAAAGCAAATGGATTTCTAGCAGAGTGAGAGTCTGGTAGACACTAGAGTCCCAGCTCTGTCTGGCAGTCAGATCAATGGCTACAGCAAGTCCCACGGAAACACTCGGGCATTAAGTACTGAGATGCTCAAAGCCTAATTTTAAATGAATTAGGTGGCCTTATAATCTTCACTTAAAAGGTTAAGCCCTGCTTCTATGGAAACAACACACCAGAAGGCCAAATCAATCTTTTTCCAATGTAAAGTGGCTGCCAAGGCAGACAGAGCTGTTCTCTTCTTTCAACACAGCGGGGCGCTGTGCCTCACTTGGTACTGGCCCCCTCTTGTTCCCAGGGGTGTACTCAATGCCCTGCTTGGAACATGTGACACTCGCAGGCTGGAATCTGGTTCCATTGGGGATTTACTTCAGTATCTATTCCAGAATGAGGGTGGTGGGCTTATGGCGGCAAGGGGTGGCTATTGCTTAAGAACGCAGCTGAGCCAGGGGAAAGAAAGCAGCAGGATGAGCTGTTTGCAAAGGGAAATATGCAGTCAACATGAATTCTTTTTCCTGTTTGAAGCTGTGAGCCATCCCCTCCTGCCAAGACCCTCTCCTTTGTGGGCTCCTTGAATCCACAAAAGGGTCCATGTGATGCTTTAGTGTACAGGGCCACTGGGAAGCATTGCTTGTGTCCTAGCAGATGGCCTCTCATGACTTTTCTCATCTGATGTGAACAAGGGGGTGTCCACAGTAGGAGAATCCACTAGAAGGGGAAACAAATGCATCCGTTGTCTTCCTCCTGTGTCCCAGCCTTATCAAGGGACTGACTGGTTCTGTGGGCTTATTTCCTGAGTTTAGCTCCACCATGTACCCTGTAATAGCTTCCAGCCAGCCAGGTACCAAACTGGACAGGTACCTTGCACCAAACTGTATCAGGTTCCTTCCCTCTTAAGACATTAGGACATCAGGTCAGCCACTGGAACAGTTTATATAAAAGGTCCTGGTTACTATCTTTCATTGATCCATCTGAATAAAGTAGGCATCAGTGCACTGTGGGGAGAGCTAGGGAGAAATAGAGGAACACAGGCCAAACCCAGCCATATACATGCACAAGGGGAGGCAACAAAAAGTGACAAGTGTGGGTTGGAAAATGGAGGGAGGTGCTAGCTGGGGTTGGAGAATGGAGGGGTACTAGCTGGGGTTGAAGAATAGAGGGGTACTAGCTGGGGTTGGAGAAGGGGGGCTGCTAGCTGGGGTTAGAGAATGAAAGGAGGGCTAGCGGGGGTTGGAAAATGGAGGAGGTGCTTGCCGGGGTGTCATATGGACAGACCACATGGTAGCAGTGGTTCAGAGAAAAGCAGGTGAGTCTGGTCTAGATAATAACACATTGGTTCATTCTGCAGCTATTGACAACATGCTTGGCACTATACCAGGATCATAAAAATGAGGGGGAGGATGTCTTCATTTCTTGGAAGAGGGGACAAAAAGATTGTAGGAGCCAGAGGTTGAGGAGGGAGAACTGGAGCCAAGCTGTCTTTGGACATGGCAGGACCTTTGTATGCATGAACTCACAGGAGCTGTAGTTGCCTGTACAAGACCTGTACAAAATCAAGCCAGTCAACATTCCAGGAGGGGGTATCACAAGTCCCCACCCTAACTAAGGAGCTCTTGATTGGCAGTTGAAGACTTCTAGGGAAATGAGAGTCTATTTTCTTTCAAGGTGTGGCTCCAGGGAATGGGCCTCACACCCACGAGTATATGAGTGGCACAAATGGACTTGGGTTATTATTATTAAAAAGGGGGGGTATGAGGTTGGGAGGAGTGGGAAGGTAGAGACAAATCTGAGAGGGGATGAATATAGTCAAATGACACTAAAATTCTCAAAGAATTAATGAAAAATAGTTTTTTTAAGATGCCTTCATTCAGTACCCCCTCAAACCATATGTTACCCAATGGGACATTCCCTGTGGGAACCAGCTACATTCAAGGCCTACCTGTGTTCATAAACAACTTTACCAGAAAGAACTGACTTTAGCTTGCAAGCTTTGTCCAGAAGTAGAAGCAATTACAGCCTGTAGCATCATTCATTCTTCTCAATTCATCTCTTAGGTAATCGCCGTCAATGACTATCTACTCACAAGTAGCCACCAAGCACCATCTAATCAGATTTTATCCGGGCTGCTTAATACCCTCTGGAATCATTCATGTGCACTTGATTATTAATGTTCTGCTGGAATCTGGGCCCCAGGATGTCAGGGAGCTCATCTATGAGACCATTAAGATTTTTGGCCCTCTGAAAACATTTGTAGTCAACTTTCCTAGCAAGAGTGACTGGGCTAAGAACCTTACATGCACCCTAGTCATCCTGCCCACAGCAAATTGTGGTCCCCTGGTGTATGACTCATCTTTCCCTTGCTTTGGCAAAACACTTGGGATAAATCAACTTAGGGAAGGAAATTTTTTTACTTTGGCTCATGGTTTCAGACCCTTAAAAGGTCCCACATTGCTGTGGCTTGTGTTGGTGTAGAGGATTATGGGGAGAGTGTGTATCAGAGCATAGCTGGTCGCCTCATAGTAGCCAGGATTCAGGAAAGGGGGGAGGGGAGGCCTTTGGAAGGCATGCCTTCAGTGACCTCCTTCTTCTACCTAGGCCCCGCCTCTGATTAGGCACCCATCTATAAACTCATCATCAGTGGAGTTACAATCACATCTCGGTGACCCCCACCTCTAAAAACTGCCCTAAGCCTAGATTCTAGATTCCAGCACCAGCACCACCCATTACTGCCCATTACAAAATCAACTTCCCTCTCATCAA